ATGGTGCTGCCCTGCACTGGGTACCACACACAGCTTCCTAAGTACAATGGTTCTGAATCCATGGTGCTGCCCTGTACTGGGTACCACACACAGCTTCCTAAGTACAATGGTTCTGAATCCATGGTGCTGCCCTGCACTGGGTACCACACACAGCTTCCTAAGTACAATGGTTCTGAATCCATGGTGCTGCCCTGCACTGGGTACCACACACAGCTTCCTAAGTACAATGGTTCTGAATCCATGGTGCTGCCCTGCACTGGGTACCACACACAGCTTCCTAAGTACAATGGTTCTGAATCCATGGTGCTGCCCTGCACTGGGTACCACACACAGCTTCCTAAGTACAATGGTTCTGAATCCATGGTGCTGCCCTGCACTGGGTACCACACACAGCTTCCTAAGTACAATGGTTCTGAATACATGGTGCTGCCCTGTACTGGGTACCACGCATAGCTTTCTAAGTACAATGGTTCTGAATACATGAAACTGCTCTGTGCTGGGGCCATGCGCAGCTTCCTGAGCACAGTGGTTCTGAATGCTCCCCAGCCGCAGTCTTGCAGAAGGCCTCAGCAGCTTGTCAGTGTGATCCCTTGGAAAGATGCGTGGGTCCATCAAATTCTTGCCCTCCATGGTGCTGCCCTGTACTGGGTACCACGCATAGCTTTCTAAGTACAATGGTTCTGAATACATGAAACTGCTCTGTGCTGGGGCCATGCGCAGCTTCCTGAGCACAGTGGTTCTGAATGCTCCCCAGCCGCAGTCTTGCAGAAGGCCTCAGCAGCTTGTCAGTGTGATCCCTTGGAAAGATGCGTGGGTCCATCAAATTCTTGCCCTCAGTGTTCTGGTGAGCAATCTCCTCCTCCACATGGTTTGAGGCAGAAGAAAGGGGTTAGAAGACAGTGAAAGACAAAGTAGCAATGAAAGTGAAGCAGATGCACTCTGTTGCATCTTAGTACTAAATTCTTACTTTGGGCCATCAACACCAGCTGCCTTATTGGAGTATTGAACACAAACATGTCTGTGGAGAGCTTAGCCTGGATAAAGCTAGCATTCAGTAAGTAGCACAACTGGACAGGCAGTCCCTTATCTGGCATCTGGAGTGTGTTTCTAGGCAAGCACCAGTCTTGTTGAGCTCGATCTACACAGGAGGAAATGAAGTTTCTTGAGGCACTATAGACCAACAAGGCTTAAATGTCTGTTTAACTGGCAGCATAAAGCAGTCACTGCAAGTTAAATACGGCAAGGCTTTTTATACACCAAGAACTCAGAGTCCTTAAGGGAGTTACCAGCTCTCTCTTTTACAGGTGAATCCAGTCACTCAAGGAGAATGCAAATGGGATCACTGTGGTGGTCCTGGTGAGACTTGGTTTCTATTTATTCCTATAAGCAACGCAGGATCTTTGATCTCAGATAGCAGGCTTTCAGCAGGCTATTTGCTCATCCCTGGCTCCTTTAGAGTGAAAGCCCCTTGCCTGCTTGTTCCCTCTACATCCCAGGCATTTGGCACTGACTGCAGCACACAGTAGCAGATCTCTAAGCAGTGTTGATAGAGGAACAAAGCTCTTTAGTCGTTAGCACAAGTTCTTGTCTACACTCACGTATAAGTGGCCACATGGTAGGATTCCAATGAGGGTTTATTCAGTTCCAATGCCATGTCCTTTTAGGGTTTGCACATCCAATTTGGCAATTTCAAGATTCCACTGTGGGGTCTATGTAAGCCCACCTCCAACCTCTTACTCCCCCAAATCCCTCCCACTCTTCCATTCTCTCTAACTCCATCATTTAGTAAAAAACCCCATTCCCCCGCCCTCTCTGTTAATAATCATTGAAAAGAAAAAACACTCATTATCAAGCACTAAAAACAAACCCACCCTAGCCATCCAGATCCTCCCAGAGGAGAAATGTCAAGCATTACAGCAGTAATTAAGTATAATAGTGTGCGGTGAGAACCATGAGATGTACTAAGACAACATTTCTCTCCCAGGGGTTGGGTTTGGGGAAAGTTCTGGAGGTGACTTTGGAGCTAGGGTGATAGATAAGATTTGAGAGATAAGGATTTGACCTTTAATAGACAAGAATTCCCACATTCAGGGAAGGAAAAAGAAAAGGAATTCCATGTCCGAGGTACAGCCTGAGCTGGGTTAGTTAAGCATGCTATATGCAGCAATGGCCAGAGCAACCCAGAGCGCCTGGATGGTGGGAGACAAGCGGGGAGCAAGAGAGGAGGCGAGGCGGCAGGCATGCATGGTCACAGCTCTGAAGGCCCCACCCAGTGCTGAATTTCACAGGCCCCCAAAGTAATAAATGAGGAGATCTGAAAAGAAATGACTGGTTTCAGCATGCCTTTGACTTTTGTGCAATTTCAAAAAAAATTATTTTTGTATTTCAGGCCTTAGTATTGTAAAAATTTTGAATTACATACGGAGACTATCATTGTAAACTTTTGGTGTTTAAGATCTCTGTTTACTGGATATTATGCTTTGCATGCGAAATGTACCCCTTGCCCCACCCACGGGCTTAGGTGTTTCAACACTCTATCCTAGTTGGTGGTACTGTTTCAGGAGGCTATGGTACCTTTAAGAGTTGGGTCCTAGTTGGAAGAAGTGGAGAATTATGGGGCGGGGTAGAACCTGGAGGTGGATCTCTCTCTCTCTCTCTCTCTCTCTCTCTCTCTCTCTCTCTCTCTCTCTCTCTCTCTCTCTCTCTCTCTCTCTCTCTCTCTCTCTCTCTCTCTCTCTCTCTCCCCGTCCTTGTCTTCCAAGATGTGAGAAGTCCCAGCTGCACTCTCCATCATGAACTCTCCCATGCCTTCCCCTTCCTCTCAAGCAGTGAGCCAGCTCAAATCCTTCTTCCCTTCAGTTGCTTTAGATGTTTTAGCACAGCAATAAGATAACAGTAGCGAATAAAGCAGGCTTTAGACCTAGCGCAGAAATTGAACACCTACCAATTCCCCCCTTTGGGCTAGGCAGAATGGAGTTAAGCTAGTTTACAAAAATGCTTGCTGCATGGCCTAACATGTTACTACCTCTTAACCCCCTTGGGAGTGCTAGCCGTGTATGAGATGAGTTGTATGCAGAAAAGACCTCCAACTTGTGGCATTTCAGAAACTAACAAATGAAGCAAAGTGGGGGTGGGGTCTCTTCCTGTAGTCACAGAATTAGAAACCAAGGTCTTTGTGAAGGATCAAATATACTGTGTGTGTGTGTGTGTGTGTGTGTGTGTGTGTGTGTGTGTGTGTGTGTGTGATTTGCTGACAATTAAACTTGGGATCTCATGCACACTAGACAAGCACTCTACCACTGAGCTCTATTCCCTGCTCAGGTACTCTGCTTTCTAAAGTGAAATCAGCCCTTTTCTGAGGGACCTACAAAGAGAGAACAAACTAGTGCCCCTCAGCAGTCTACGCTTCCTCCTTATCACATGTCAAGATACCTTATGTGACAGTGTTCATGGCCAAACATTATACCTGCCCCTTCCCCATCACTAGGGCATACCTCCCCCAAAGCAAGGGTTGCCTGTTTTAGAAAAGCGCTCATCTAGATTAGGAGTATCGAGGGCATGAAAGCCCACTCCTGGGCTAGGTGTCACTAGCCCACCCACAGGCCCACAGCCAGGCTGCAGCATGGGAGACATTCTAGGAGAGTTTAACATGGATATTAGGAGCCGAAGTTCTCAAAAAATGAAGTTGGATAAGGTGAAGCAGAACTCTGTCTGAGAAAATAAATAACAAGTAAAGCTCACTGCACCTGTGCAGGTGCCCAGTGGCTGAGAGAACTGCACCAAGGCAGAGGGAAACTAAAGGCGCCTACTGTCTCATGACAGGTACTATAGGAGCACCCCACTGGCCCTCCCACTGCCTCTCCCTGCCCTCAGTTAAAAGCACGACTGTCCCGGGGCATGGAGGGGGAGAAGTGAAAAAGCAGGTGGTCCTTACCTGCACCGAACTTCCGGATTGTAAATCCCTGAGGACATACCCCTTATCCCAGCACACACCTGGCGTAGAGCAGACCTTTAACACTTCTGCTGAAAATGAATGGGTACCTCAAGGCATCCCAGTTTTCCAGCTTCTGGAGTCTCATTTGTGGGTCAGAGGAGGGTGTTCTTTGGCACAGAGCCTGGCTTAGGTAACATGGCATTACCCAAAACACACGTGCTGTGTCTAGCAATGCCAGTTTCTGGGCAGGGCCTGGGCTTCCACCCCTGGCCTTGCATTCTAGCTCCGTGGGTGGAAAGGTTTAAATTCAGCAGCTCCCAGCCTTGCTGCATGTTTGCCAAAGCCTTCTAGCAGCAGCATGAAGCTAGGAGCCTTCCTTCTCTTGGTGTCCCTGGTCACCCTCAGCCTAGAAGTACAGGAGCTTCAGGCTGCAGTGAGACCACTGCAACTTTTAGGTAAGTCTAGGTGGACTTGAACCAGGGAGCCAGACCAGTGTGTGCGGGAGGAGGGGAAGAGGGGAAGGAAGGACAGGTCTTGTCTTTAGGGAGGCAGGGCAAGGACCCTCCTTGATGGTCATCTCTCAGCTCCTCTGAGCAGAGTCCCTCATCTGCCTCTACTTTCTTTCCCTCCAGCCCCTGGAGCATCTCTCTAGCTGGACTCCTCTCCTCCCTTCCTGTCCCCTCATCAGCCACCCTTTGTCTCCCAGCATCTCCTTTTCCACCAGCTTCTTCCTCGAACTACCTATAGAAAATATTTTCTTAATTATGTTCAATAACAGGCAATCTCAGTATCTTCTCCTCTTATCACCAATACTCTCAAATGTGTTATGTTGCTGTTGTTATTGTTTGGTTTGGTTTGGTTCCATTTGAGACAGGGTCTCACACTGAAGCCCAGGCCAGATTGAAACTCACTGTGTCACCTAGGCTGACTTCAAACTCATGGCAGCCATCCTGCTTCAGCCTGCCTTGCTGGAATTGCAGACATGATCCACCATACTCACCTCACTGGGCCACAAACTAATCCTCTGCGCCTACTTCCCTGAAATCCTTCCTTAACCCTTTGGTGACCACAGCCTCTATTTCTGCCCCATTATTCTCTTAAGGCTTTCCTCTCAGATCCTGTTGACAAGTTTCTTAACTCTTCTCAGTTAGAAGTCTACCTTTTGTAGCCTTTGCTGCTGTCTACCTCTCCCTCAGTCTCCAGACCTTTATCCTTTCTAGGTTATCCTTTACTGACACTAGTCTCCCTAAATATTATTGGAAACCACTTCCTCCTCTCTTTTCCACTCTCCTCCCCTCTACATTAACAGATTGCCAAATCCTGCCCATCCTTTAAGACCATTTCTTGCATCTGTCCCTTCCCTTGCCACACTGAGTTCAACTGTGATTACCCCAAGCTCTGGCAGTTGCAAGTCTTCCAGCAGCTCTACCAGCCCCTCCCTCTTTCCCTCCCTCCCTCCCTTCCTTTCTCTGTGTGTTTACTTTTTGAATTCTAGTTCATTCTGTGCTTTTTTTTTTCTTTTTTAACTAGATAATCCTTTGAAGAGAAGAGCAGCCATGTACTTCTCTTCTATCAATGGATCCCCAATCCATGGTCCTGGCAACCTGCTGCCCTCTGCAGTTTTCGTCTCCTGCTTCCTTTTCCCTGCTTAACTTCCAGCCCCTCCTAAACTTGCTCTTCCTCTTGGCTCCCCTTAGTTCGGGGTGAGGAGAGAGGTAGATGGTGTGCCTTTGTTACAAGACTTAGAGGCACTCAGTCAATGTAGGTTCTATGCCTGACACAACACACTGTCCTCCCCCCAAATTCCACCCTGTTACATTTTCCACTTAGGAATTAAAAAATTTTTATTTATTATTTTTATTTTATGTGTATGTGTGTATTGCCCGCATGTAGGTAAGTGCACCCATGTCGTGCAATACCTGCAGAGGACAGAAGAGGCTGTCGGATCCCCTGGAACTGGAGTTACGAACAGTCGTTAGCTGCCATGTGGGTGCTGGGATTTGAACCTGGGTCTTCTGCAAGAACAGCCAGTGTTCTTTACTGCTGAACCGGCTCTCCAGCCCCTCCTTGGGAATTTTTGCTAGTAATTCTTTTCTCACAACACTCCACCTCACACACACACACACACACACACACACACACACACACACACACCCTATTCCACCTTAAGGACATCCCTGCACTTCAACACTCTTTTTTCCTGGTTAATTAAAAATAATGACTTCTCTGAGCCTTTTGAGTCCTCTGCATCTACCTCTCGCAGAACACTTGTAAAATGCTGCTTTATTTTTAGTACTTTAAATATAACTCTTACCTGCATTGGAAGGTTCTAAGCAGCCTGTTTTACACCACTGTTTCTTGAATAACTTCCTTTATGCTTTATAGCATATACTACACATATGCTCTATATGTAGTAAAAGATCAACAGATAAATACTTAATGTGACCAGCCTTCTGAGAGTAAGTCTAAGGAGTCTTCAGCCTCCTTCTTACCACAAAGTAACAGTAGCTACTAGAAACATGTAAGTCTGAGTGTCTCCCCTGCTCTGTGTCCTGCACTGTGGGGAAGTAATTACATTTACGTGAGCTACTTTCTCCCCTTCCACAAACACAATCCCTTGATACACATCTCTGTACTAGGCTTTGCTTTATTGAAAGTATGTGAATGAATTGTTTTTAACTGAAATAATTAATATTATCCTACTAGTAATGGTATTCAAATTACAGTATGTATTAAGCTAAAAGGAAACAGTGGAATTTACTTCTCAGTCAAGGCTTGTCATTCTGAGCACTTGAGCCTAAACTACAGTGGTTTTCACTAGTCTGTTCGTTTATCTGTCTGTGACAGGATTAGCTTATTATGTAGTCCAGGCTGGCCTTCAGTTGGTAAATCCCCTGCCTCATTCTTCTGAGTGCTGGAATTATAGTTCTCTGTCACTCCTGGCTTTCATCTATTCTTTTCTGACTTCTTTTCAGGCACCTGCGCTGAGCTCTGCAGAGGTGACTGGGACTGTGGACCAGGGGAGCAATGTATCAGCACTGAGTGTAGCCATGTCTGTGCTACAAACTAAGAGCAGGTAAAAACCATCTGGCCCTTCTAGTTTCCTTAAAACTTGCCCAGATCAGGCAGGTCGTACATCTAACCACCATGGGGCTTTCCAGAAATTGGGTGAAACAAAAGCCTACCTGTCTCCCTAGAACTTCTCCATCTTCTCTCCAAGAAGATGCATCCACCATAGATGGTACTTACCAACCTTTAGAATAATTTCCCAGCCCAGTATATCCTGGAGGAAAAGCAGACAATATTTGAGCAAGAAGATAAAAATCACCCATAATCCATCACCTCAAAATATCTGTTTATCAGTGTGGTGCATATTTTAAGTATGCACAAATATATAATGTATTTAGAAATCAGAATCTTGTACCTATTTGATTTTTTAGCTATCTCATTTAAAAATAGTGAGAGGTTGGAGAGACTGCTCAGTCCTCTTGCAGAGGACCTGGGTTCGATTCCCAGCACCCACATGGTGGCTAACGACTGTCCATAACTCCTGATCCAGGGTGTCCAGTGCCCTCTTCTGGCCTCTGTGGACATTGCATAACACAGGTGCACTTACATCCATGCAGGCAAAACACTCATACACATAAAATAATTA